AGGGGTCACTTTGTCCTGTTTATTCTTCTGTGGAGGATGCTCCACCTGGTTGAGCAAATACAGGCATTTTGTTTCCCCTCATTTTATTCCAGGTGTATTGGTGCTGTTCTGTTAATTTTTCCTGTGTGCTTATCTGTGAGTATGTACAAGCATTTACAAGAAGAATAATCTTCGAATGCAGGAGCAGCTGTATATTTTGCAAGATGAAGAGTTCCCCCACTTCACTACTTCTCTGACTACTACTGTGGCAAGTGTTTCAGGAAAGAACACAGGGAGGGAGGCTTACACAGGAAAGCCCTTCATCCTTCAAGAGAGCACTTTCTTGGTCAGGGGTTACGGTGGGTTTTATAGCTTCCAGTGTCTGGTGTTTTTTGTGATCCCTGTTTGAATCTAGCTGTATTTCTTGCCTTAGGTAGCAACAAGTTCTGGCCATGATTTAGCTATTTTGTATGAAAGGAACAAACTATTTTCTTTGTTTCTTGCCTTGCTTTTTGGTTTTGGTTTTTTTTTTCAGTTTGAGCTTGCTGGCTATAGTCTTCTTGGGTGATCCTAGATATTGTGATAGGGAAAAATGATTTTCTGGTATATGTTTCTCTGCACAGTTTATGATAAATTATCTTAGTTCCTCAGATGTCTTCTCCATTCTGAGGAGTGTCAGACAATTAATTTCTCCTGAAATGAAAGCCATTAATGTGAAGCTAAAGGTGTCATTTTGTAAAGGAACCACATGGGTGTGAAAACAAGTGTGTCTTCTGTAATTGTGAGTTTTTACTTGTCAAACTTATGTGGACTGGCAGCTTTGAAAAATGTTTGGAACACATGGTAAACTCACTTTGCAGAGATCCTTTCAGACCCAGCTAGTTTCATGATGTCTTAACCTGGCCCTGGGGAGGGGAGTGGGAGGTGTGGGACAGAGGGGATGAGTAGACACAGCTGTTGTTCATTATGAGATGCAAAAATGAAAGTGAAGCAGCACCATTCCTCTTTGGAGCCCAGTCCTGTGCAGGCCAGTAGGCCTGGTGTGGTTGTGGGAGGGAAATTCAGCCCATCCCTCCTGGTCAGAGCACCAAGAATGAGGTTGGTGCATGTGAAATGAAATGAAGACAGGAGCTTTTCTTGGTAGCTTCAAGTATGATATCTTCAGGCTTCACTTCCAAAGGTGTTTGCTTGGCTGATGGCCATGGCTCTGGTGGCAGGGCTGGTCCTGCTGCTGGTGTGCAGGGGTGGGAAGGTGGCTCAGGCTTTAGTCCTCTTTTGTGCAGGAATTGCCTGCTAAGGAGGAGTTGGAGACTCTGACTTCAGTTCCAGTGGGTTTCTTGCACCAGTGGTGGTAACGAAGATCCAACCCGGCCCAGTGTGGGCTTCAGCAGATGGAAAGCTCTTAGAGTAACTAAATCTCCAGGTTTTATTGTGTCTGCAAATAATCCCATTTACAGCTGGCAGCCCTGAGTGTGTATATATAGAGGTAACTCTCATCCTTACAAATGACTAAGTTGGACTTTAGGCTTTTGTTTTAGCTGACAGAGTTAATCACTTCCTGCATTATTTTTCAAGACCAGGGTTGTGCACAAAACAGTAATTTTGGGAGAAGAAACTTCCATCATGTTCCCTGGGGGAAGTGGTGTGCAGTGGGAGGGAGGCTGCCCATGCCTCTGGGATGGGGCTGCTGCAGTGCTGGAGGTGCTGATGATGAGGTATTTGGATTCTGTTTCAATTTCAGTTCTGTTTGAAGATGGGCTTGGCAAAATTGCCCAATATATCACGTCTTTAAAAAGGAACCATTTGACTTCTGTTTTCCTCAAGTAAGTTGTCCAAAACCACACTTGGTAGTGCTATGCCTGGCATGGGTGTCTCTTGAAGTACTATGCTGTCTGCTTGGATGCTGCTGCTACTATTTTCTGGACCTAGTGGCATTCATGGAGTTCTTAATGCCTTGTGAGCTCAACATAGCCTGTGGTAAATATTTGCCTCTGCAAGCCCTGTAAAGGGAGAAGGCAGGAGCTTGACTAGGTGTTGATTAAGCCAGAGCTTAATGAAAATGGCCTCTGTTGTGTGGTAAGAGAGTACTACTTCATGGGTTTTAGCATCTCTTTTATACATACATGAATGCATAGCAAATGTGCTGGTAGCTGTTTGCAAACTGAGCCTGCCTAAGGTTAATGGTGTGTGTCACGAGTCTCCTGTCCCACTTTATGAATGTGGGCAGTTCCTGACCTGACCTGTGACAGTGTGAAAACTAACATGCTGACTCTGGCACTGCTGCACATGCATGCCCTGCAGCTCTCAGGTGTTTTGTGTCTAAGCTCTTTGGCCTAGAACTAAGCTAGGAAGGCAAGGTGGAGCATTAAAGATCACCTTCTCAGAATCAGCTGGCATCTCTTCTGTGAGTGTGCTAAGTTATGTCGGCAAATATGGCTTTTCTTTATTCCTGGCTCTTAAAGTAACACCAGTATTCCGTTGCATTGCTTTCTTTGAGTAGAAGACTTAATTTGATCACCTCCAGCTATTTTCAAGATTCTTCCAACTTGTATATGGCTTCATTTAGGTCCAGAAGTGTCCACTATATAAGGCTGGTGGCATATTCAGGTGCCTCACTTCAAGGGTCTAGAACCTGATTTTTTCAGAAGATGTGGGGTGTTTCCTGTGACGCACACTTGCAGTATTGCAGGTGTTGAGTCCTTGGTATCTGGAGCTTTATATAGACAAATCACTGTTAAAAGCAGAGGCTGCTATTATTTTGGCTTTCATTTCTTTATTTTTACAATTAAATATTACGATCCAGTCACATAGACCTTGCGAGCCACTAGATGTTTTGCAAAGATCTGTGAAAACCTTTAGAAAACATATAAAGAACTATTTTTGGTAAAAATAAGTTGTATTGGGCATCTGGACAAGAGATGTTTGCTTAGCCTTCATTGCTTCAGCTCCAGCATTCCTGCCCTGAGTTGTGGTATGTCTGCTGGTTATGTATGCATAGATTCTAAAAGTAATTTTCATTAATGAACTTCTTGAAAGACATTCTTGTCTTAACCATGCTGTTCTGGTTTGGGTTTCTTTGCTTGTTGTACAGCTGTTGGTTCAAAGGTTGTTGCATATTGCATAACTTAGTGCTAGAAGAGGGGGGCGGGTGAAGGAACTCATTGGCAAACTTCCTTCCTTGTTAATTAAGGTGACATTAAAGGTCTCTGGTTTAGGTCTCAATGGTGTACACCATGCATTGCAAGAGTATGATTCTTATATGTCATGTCAGGCTCACTGGTCCACTCTACTAGTTCTCTCTGAATATAACTTTGTCTTAATTTTGGTTCTATCCGTTAGTTATAAAATCATACTAAAATTAGAGTGCAGTAACAGATACTTTTTTTTCTTTGCAAGGCACTGAATATGCACTGTAAGATTTTATATTTTTTACACATTTTAAAGTACAGATGTAATTTTAGAGTGAAATACTTCTCCATGGGGTGAGTGTACTATGCTGTCTAAAAACTTAGTTTTCAAGTTTGCCTTTAAAATGTTTTTCAGAAACAAATTGACATGCAGACTTGTTTGCATCCCTCCTTCCTAGACCTTTGATTTAGGAGGTGTCATCTGGCAAATTTCAGGTTTGGAGGTAAAAACCTTATCTCTTGGCCCAGCAATTACATTGGTGCAGTCCACTGAGGTTGACAATGGGCTTCTGACTTTTCAGGTGCTACCCAAGAGTAAGCAGATATGTATGTAAAAACTGCAAAATGATGCACAGAGTGCATTCCATCTTGTACCCTGGGTGGAATGGTGGTGTGTGTGTGCCAGGTTGTCTACCATGGCTTAGGCTGGTTATTAGGAAAATGGTCTTCATCCAGAGGGCGGTTGGGCACTGGAACAGGCTCCCCAGGGCAGTGGCCAGAGCCCCAAGCCTGACAGAGTTCAAGAAGCCTTTGGACAATGTCAGGCACATAGTGTGATTATCAGGGCTGTCCTCTGTAGGGCCAGGAGTTGGACTCAGTGATCCTATGGGTCTGTTCCAGCTCGGGTTGTTCTATGATTATTAACGGGTAATGGTTTTAAACTAAAAGAATGTGGATTTAGACTAGATATAAGACAGTCTTTACAGCAGGGCTAATGAAACATTGGAACAGGTTGCTCAGACAGGTGATAGGTACCCATTCCTGGAAACATTCAAGGCTGGGTTAGATGGGGCTCTGAGCAACCTGATCCAGTTAGATGTCAGTGCTCATTGCAGGGGGGTTGGACTAGATGACCTTTAAAGATCTCTTTCAACCCAAGCTGTTCCATGATTCTATAGGAAAATGCATGCTCTAAGGAGCAGATCTGAAGGGTTTGCTGCATTCTCTGAGTGCTTCTGTAGTGGGAACTGGGCTTTCCTTCACCTTCTGCTTGGGTGTTTTTTAACATCTGCTGTCTTTAAAGTCATTTTCCTACCAGGGACATGAGAAATTGAATTATATGAAGTTATAATGTCTTGAGCGATGCTAGTAACCTAATAGTGCCTTCAGTACTTGTTTTCTTGTGCTGTTAATTCTGGAATTAAATGGCAATTACCATGTATATATGCTGGTGCTATTTTGCCTTGCCAGCGTTGTGTTTTTAGACAGCGTTGGTCCCACACATTGACAGTCAGTTTTTTGTCCCCATACAGTAAACTAGTTCACACTTTGTCTAATGTCTTCGCATAGCGGGAATTGATGTTGGTTGCAGCTCTCACAGAAGGCTTTTGTGTGGTGATATCTGAAGGCTGTCTTGTTGGAGCTTTTATCAAGGCTGTTGCAATGAGGCCATTATCTCCGCTCGTGGAAAACACAGATATTTGCAGAAATTTTTATAGCAATGCTTGGTAAGTGTCATGCTGGGACAGAGCGACAATGCTGGAGCAGGACAGAAATAATACCCGAGGTGGCAGCCATGCCGTGGCGGGGTGTTATCTGTCCTTGCAGACTTGGGGACAGGGTGGGAAGGGAACCTCACATGGGGCAGACGGAGGGTGGTGATCAGGGCTATCGCAGGCACTAATAATCCTGGCCGTCGGCTCAGCAGAATAGTTTCACTTTTCATGGTAAGAGTTTTATTGAGTGCCTCTAAGTAACCCAGCTCTGAATTGCTCTATAATGCTTCTGCACCTCTTCTGCACTGTATTTTTTGGGGTGGGTTGTTTTATTTTTTTTTGCTTTCAGCTGCGTGGTATCTGCGACCAAAAAGTGTCTCTGGGGAGTTATGTAAAACTGCAAGTCGGGTGAGAGGAAGCTGAAACTTCACAACCCGGCTGTAGTACCCTTAAGCACAAAATTCTTTCAGCCAGTAAAAAAGACAACTTACTACTTGAGGTGGGTGCAGGGAGGGCTTTAAAATTATAATAGCATTTTCACTGGCTTCTTTGTCTCTGCCGTGAGTATTTCACTGGGTTTATTCTTTCTTTCCCTCAGGAATTATGGGTTAGAAAAAGCTTTTTTTTTTTTTTTGCTTTTTTTTTTTTTTTTGTAAAATATAGTGTCCTGAAAGCATAAGCAAGTTGCTCATTTTCTTTCTCTGATTCTTAATCATAAGAGCTGCCTTGATGATTTTTCCCACCTCAAATTAGCAGTTTATTTATAACATGCTAATGTTCTGCATGCCCGTTGTTATTACTGTTCTGTCGTGCTGAGCTGAGAATTGTTCTCTCGAAAACTGACACTGCAAAGATGACATAAAAGAACATGAGAAATTGCCTGTGATAGAGAAACGTTCAGGTGGCTTTTGGTATGACTTTGATTCACGCTTTCTATAAAATCATTTACATTTCCTTCCTGATTTCTGTTGCTAGTTACATTCATGTTGCTTGGTTTTATTTTTGCCTACCAAAAATAAAGAAAATTGCAGACCGTTGGCTTTTGGCATCCTCGTTACCCTTTCCTTCCCACTGGCAAACTTCTCTGTGATTGTCTTCCACACAGTGTTACCAGCTGCCTTCTTGGATTGCAGGCAGGGGGATGAGGAACTTCAGGGGGTGTTTCCCCCTTCCTACAGGGTGCCTGTGGAAAGCCTCTTCCAGATCTAGCGGTTAGCAGCATCCTTCCCATTGGTCCTCCACTTCGGCTGCTCTGCAGAAAGACAGGGGAGCATTCAAGGCCCACACCGTGCAGTGTGGGGTGTCTTGTGCCTGGAAAAGCAAAGGGCAAAATAAAAACACATCCCATGAGTTTCTGTACTTGGAGCCATGTGTTTTGTAGGTGTTTACAAGAGAGATGGCAAAGAAAGATGCAAGATCATTTGGCAGCCTCCAGCGTTGTTATGACCTGTTCGTCTGTAAAGATGCTCTTCACGTTGCTGCTGGTCTTGGCGCACTGAAGTCCTTCCCTATTCTCATCTTGTTAGCATCATGTTTGCTGAATATGTGGGAAGTGAACGCAATAGTAGTGAGCAGGTTGTGTGCAGTTGGCTAGATATTAAACTTGGGTACAGCCTTCTGTGGGCAGAATTAAATTAGTAGTTACAAAGGAATTTCTTCGGTGGTATTTGTATTTTAGGGGGACAGAAACCCCTTTTGCTGTGAAAGGGAATGTGTAGGGAATTCCAGAGACTGGCATATTTAATTTAGAGGAGAAAAAAAAAGAGAGAGAAAAGGAGGCAAATCCCCCTTATTCAGAGCCATATGTTCAAGATACTATGCTTAGTGTGATTTATTTGCTTCAGAATTAGGGAAGAGGGTTGCTAGGAAAAGTAAGATGCATTCACTTTTTTCACCTAAAAGAATTTTATAAGGGTGATTACAATCTGCCTCCTTTCTCCCTCTTTCCTAGTCCTGGAGAATGATCAATTTAGTGATAAGTCAGAGCAAGCAAAAATGTGATTGTTCTCCTCTGCAATGCAGAGACTAAGATGGACTCCTTTCTCTAAGGCCAAAATCAGGTCTTTCTGTTTTGAAGTGAATCAAGAGTTACCATTGTGTTTTCAGTAAGAAATGACCTGAATTTCAGTCTTTTTCTTCCTTCTTTAAGATTTGTGAAATTTTGGGATGTTTTTGACTATCCTTTCACTCTTTTGATAGCCTCAATGCCAGTTTCAAACCACTTCCTTACTTCCTCCAAGGTGGGGAAGCAGCACCAGTTGTACTGGACAGGGATTGTATCTGTTCTAAGTACTTCATTTCAAGAGGAGAAATGTGGCTTTCCCAGCTGTTTAAAAAGCTCAGCTGCCTCAGCATGTGGAGAGCAGGTCCCAAACTCTGTTCAGCCAGCAGCAGAGAAGGGAGGAATTGCCTTCAGACCTTGCAGGGAGAAATCTTGAGGCATCTGTGAGGTGCTATAGTATATCTAGCTAAAAATACCAGATACTAGAGCTTGCCTTATTGACTTGTTGGATGGCAATACCTTGTTGAAGTGGAAAAAGCTGACAGATCTGGAACTTTGTGTAATGGTGTAATGGTGTAAGAGGGGTAGCATAAAGACCCCAGCAAACATATTTGCTCACCAGAGCTTCCCCAGCTTTCCCACTGAAAGTGCAAGTGTGGCATGCCTAGAAGATTTAGGAATTGCCTTCCTGCCTGTAATGGTCCCGGAAGGTTTGCTTTCCTCCTGAAAAGCTGATGTCAAATTCTTTGTCCAGATTTAGCCCAGTCTCTTTGGTTAGTGTTGATCAAATCATACAGAAATGTATTGTTCCTTCTGTTGCAGAGTGATGCTGAATGCCTTCTACAAGTACTTCACCTCTCCCTGAGAGATGATGCTTTTTGTCCTCATTGTTGCTCTGCCTCATCTTTGAGTGCCTCTCCATGGCTGCATGGGCATGAGCCCCAGCATTGAGCAGGTGCAGTGATCTTCCCAGGCAGAACCTTGAATTAGAAATATTGTCTCAATGGGAAGGTACATTTTAACTGGCTACATGCATCTCCTGTAGCGTGATGAAATGGCATCCGTGTTTTCACTAAGCATTTTTATCCAGAGTATTAATTTCAAGTTTAAATTTTTCAATTTTTAAGTTTTTTAAAGTTCACTATTAAGGTCTTTAATCTTAGATGGCAGGCCAGCGAGGTGGTTCAGGTAAAGAACCTTTTAGAGTTGCAATATGGAATTTTTTCACCCTAACAAGAGAAGGTGGCGGTTTGAGCACGTGCCAGTTTGCCTTTCCAGAGCTGTGATACAGCTGAACCACAGTGGAAATCTGGAACCATAACAACACTGCTTATAGGAAGTTTGACTCCCTGCATTTAACCACAAATGTGGTCAATGTTAGGAGAAGCAATAGCAGAGGGGAAGAAAGGTGGTAGTATTTGATTAGCTTGTTTCTCCTTGTTTTCTGTTGTGAGGGAAGAGCGATAATATTACTAACTGATGATTCCAGTTTCCTTGTTACACTTTGAGGATACTCTTTTAGGGTAGATATGATAAGACTTGCTTTCAGCATTTTAAGTAGTCACATGCTGTTAGGCAGTTGTGCTGCTTGGTAAACTGTGGGGTATTTCTGAAGACAGTAACATGGAGAAGAGGATTAAATACCGTGTCAAGATCTTTCAGGTGGTCACTAGCTTCATGCAGGGATTGAAATGCAAAGCGATTCAATCATGATGGGTTTCTGTGGGAGGTTATTGAGGGATAGAGGTCTTCCATTGGTCCTCACCATTGTGCCCTAGACCAACATGCTGTATTCATTCATTCAGTTCAGCAGCACGAGAATGGTTGTCTGTCTTGGGCACTAAAATACCCTGCTGTTTCCTATCTCCACGTTCTTGGAAATGAAATGTAATCCTCTCATAGGCAGAGTAGCCTTAATTGCCTCATGGGATAGGAAGGAAAGGATGATTTGGGAACCAGGTCTGTGCTATTAGAAGTGCTTCTCGTGACAGAGGGGATTTCCTGGAACCATGCTGGGAGACCCTTTGGGGATGTGGTTTCAGAGTCAACTTGCAGCCACAATCCAAATTGGTGCCGCCACAAATAGGGTCATGCTGCCCTCCCTCCCTCCCTGCTTTGGCGCCTGCCCTCGTACCTCTCTGTGTTTGTCAGACCGGGGACTGCTCCAGCTGAAAGCTAACACTGGCTGAGTGATTAGTTTTCAGCACAGGAGCTCCCTGGCCCAGCTGGCCGCAGGGTTAGGGTGGACGTGGCCGGCAGAGGCCCGGCCATGCCCTCTCCCCAGACACGGGACGCCTGCTTGGAGTGGCAGCAGACCAAGAGCCTTGCTGAGTGTGTGCCCTCAGCATCTCCTAAAGCCAGTGGAGTTGTGTGGAATGAAACCCTAACAGATGGCTGTGCAAAGAAATAGGCAGCTTTTGTGCCACTACTCTCTGCTTGGGTCCGAGGCGTGCAGCTGCCACAGCCTGGCCAGCAGTGCCCAAGGGCTGGAGGGAGCTCGCACACTCTCCCCATCTCCAGCTTTGAAGTGCTTGGGGGCAGTATAGCGGGTTTGTGAGCACATGGAGGAGAAACTATGGCTGAAAACATCCTCAGTTCATGAAGGAAAGCCTTATTTGCTTAAACTGGGAATCTGCTCAGTGCTGTTTGCACCATGCCTCATATCCTTGTTTTCCCGTCCCTGACCGAGGCTCCCAGGCTACGTGTAACTTAATTACAGTCTGATGGCTGGCACTGAAGTAGGTGAAGATAAAAATGTAATTTGTGCCTAGAAGTTATGTATGTTGTGAGCTTGCAATACTGGAGGCCTTCTCGGCAATCACTGCTGTCAGGGTATACCTCCAGAGGAAAGACTGCCTGTGCTGCTCTGGCAGGTACAGTCTGACAGGTACAGCTCTAAAGGGCTTTAATGTGACCGATTGTTAATAGGTGAAAGTAAAGGAGTTGTGGTCTTGCATGAAAGATCACAGAGACCTTGGAGATAGCAGCTGGGATGGCTTTTGCATTCAGCAGCTGCAGCCGAGGGTCTTGTGTTGTGTAGCTCATGAAGGTGGGAAGGCTCATAGGGCTTCTGGTCAGATGGGTGGTAATGAATACCAGTCACATGCAAAGTTGGCCGAGGAAGGTTGAGTTTCATCACTGCACTCATAGAAAGTCTCCTTTCTGCCCCTCGAATGGTGAGGTGGGGCCAGCCTGCGTGGCAGAGAGAGCATCCAGGGCCCTGCTTATTCCATGCTACAGCAGAATTCTGCCTTTGTGACCAGAATATATTGCTGAATTTCAGCTTTGGCTTAAAAGAAGGCGTATCATTGTTATTGTAAGTAAACCTACACTACAAACTCAGCTAGTGCAGAGCTAACTCTGGAGACAGCCTGTAATTCACGGGGCTGTGAAATAAGAGTTTCACTTTAATCTGTTGTCTGTTTTCAAACATAACTATTTTGTTATTGATTACTTGTGGAAAAGGTCTGGTGTGTTTATCTCTCAATCTTTACACATGCTGCCCACTGCCAGTAGCCTCAGTTCTCCCCCCAGCAGCTGCCAAAATTTCCATCTTTCTCCCAATTTCTTTAGCACCACTGTGCATTGAGACGCTTGCAGGATAGCAATATGTGAAAGCTGTGTAGCATTCCTGTTTGTCTTGGAAGTCGATGTTTTACACAAGGAGTGCTGTAACTCTGCCATATTTACTTTCTTGTATTTAATTCAATAAAATGTATTTACCTGAAGTGGACACGAAATTTCCAGTTTGTGGTGGAAAGCGTAGGACCAGGCTGCAGAACTCATTCCAAGTCAGGACAGAGTGTGTGAGGGCTCCTTGCCAGTGCAAAGTGTGGGAGGAAATTCGGGAGTAAGACTACTCTTGCTGCTATCATCAGCAGGCGCCTGTTGAAAGGGTAGGAGTTATGGATGTCAAGGCAAGACAACAGGTTTTTGTTTTTTCTTGAATTTTAGACTTCCAAGACAAACCGATGACTGGTAAAGTGGGTTTCGTCCAAGACTGTCTTTGCTTTAGCTTGGATAAGAACTTGCAGTCTCAGATAGTGAGATATAGTCAAGTTTTCTGGGCTAATCTTAGCTTTACAGTTTGATTATAGTTTGGAATTAGGGTTAGGAAAACAATTAGTGTAGAAAATGAGGGTTTCTATGGGAATCTATCTATGCTTAAGGATTTTTAGCAATCTAGCAAGCCTACAGGCTGGTGGGAGCTTCCCACGGCTGCCTCAAGTTACCTTTTCTCCTGCTTCTAAGAGAACAAGGCTGTCCTCCTTCTTATCCATATATTGTTGAGAGAGGGCATAGTCTACAGGCTATTTTTATTCCTATTCCTTTCCATAATTATATGTAGCTTTTATAAATCTGTCTAGATGGAAAGCTCTCGTGTACTTTTGAAGGACTTATTTGATCTAAATTTAAGGATGTCTCATGTCCAGTTGTGAAACTTGCTATTTTAGTTCACCCTACCTACAGCTTTTACTAAAACAAGAGGAAAAGGATGAAGAGGGGAGACTGAAAAGTGTGTGTGAGAGGAGGGAAAGATGACTCATAAGTGGGACTGCATTTGAAAATGAAAAGGATCAAGGTGTACTGATCATAAGAGAAAGTTAGGGCTTCTGTGAAGAAGGCACAATTAAACCATGTGGTCATTTATCTTCTGAACAGATTAAGGTATGTTTGGGGAGGAATCCATGGGCCTGAATTGAGTAGACAGATTTCTTCTCTCTTCAAAGTTATTTAAAGAAAGGAATTTTTAGTACAGGCTTTAATAGGTGATATTTTAGTGCTAGATTCCACTGGAAGACTTCCCCAGACTTCTGGAAAATCCCATTTAGCTGTCCATTGCCTATGGGATAGTTCTAATAGCTGCATGGTTATACAGCAGGAGAGGTAGCAGAAATGGAAAGAGGGGGAAGGCCACAGTACAAGGAGCCACAGTACAATTTTAGGCTACAATCAATGGAAATTAAAGCTCATTAATAGATGCACAAATTTCTGCTTTCAATCCAGGTGTTGTCTCTTTTATCCTGCTGCTAACGTTCTGCTCTTCCAGCCTTGTGCCAGCGCCTGTAAAGCTTCCAGAATACTTGGGATGGCCCATAGTCTTGAAATAAACCTTTCTGTAGGGTTTAAGTAGTGTGCAATTATGAGGATGGACTTCTTCTGGATACAGCACTGCAGAGAGCGCCTGTGGTGTTTCCAAAAGGGTTTACCAGCAGTATCCCACAGCCAGCTCTTCCTACCTTCACTTTTCTTCTCCTGCTGAAGGCTAGAAGTTAACAAAGGTACAGCTGTCTGGCATGTGAATGAGGCTGATAGAAAATGCATTTAAGTTGGTAAAGCATTTTGATTAACAAAAGCAACTGTCAATATGAAATAGGTTTTAAAAATTGGCTAAGTGGAAGGAAAAGGGTCCTTTTGATTGATTCCAGTGAGTATTTTCACTAATCTCAATACTATGGAGTGCTTTCATCGTTGTTGCAGAAGTAAACAAAAAAACTGTTACTGATAGTAATTGCCAGCAGAATAGGAGATGATAATGGAGCTCTCACAGCTTGCTCTGTAGGCACATTCAGACACACTGTGTCTTTAGTACGGCGAAAGGCGAAGTTGTATGCCAGAGCACAGGGAATGCAAACCATGCCTTATGAAAGGGGGCCTGTATCCTGGAAAGCAGCACTTCTGAGAAGTCTGTAGTGGAAAAGCAACTGCACGCCAGCTTCCAGCACAATGCTGAGAGGCCATGGCACTGAGGGTTGCATCCTGGCATGTACCAAAAATGGGCAAGAGTGGGGATGCTTTTACCTCAGTCAACAGTTTTGGTGTAACTGATACCTAAAGTAACATAATGTGATTCAGTGCTAGTATTTGTAAGGGAAAGATCTTGAAATTAGAAGATGCTGTTAAACATGGCAGCATGAATTATTTGAGGTCTGAAGAAAATGCCCTTCAGTGCAA